ATATACCTCCACAAACCCACCCCATAAGAACCACGACCGTCAACTGAGTATCAACCCCCCTCTGTAACACCATACTTCGCTCCAATGATTTCTCTCCAAAAACCCACCCTCTCCACTCCAAACCGTCATAGCCACTTGCCCAGCAAGACCTTATTAAACAGGATCTAGGCTCCTCAATCCAAGGCCCCCCACCCTTACAGGAGAACAAACCACACTCCACTTGACCAAATGAAATTTCCTCTCTTTTCCCATCCATGCCCAAAGAAACTCCCTTTGGACTGTATTGATGATACTTATTTTTCCCTAGCCAAAAAGGAATTTACCAATATTACCTGTATTGGGGATGCTTATTTTCCATAGCCAAAATTGATTGTTCTTATTTCTTTGGAAGTGAAGTTGTTGAAGACGTCCTTGTTGCCTGTCATATATTTGGACGTTCTATTATCTAGCTACCAAGCTGCCTACTTGTTCTTTAAGACTTGTATGAAGGTATTCTGTATTGATTTTTTCTTCCAAATCAATTACCTACTAAAGTAGTATATCTTTAAATCGGTTCTTATTTTTTAGGGTACCACTATGTTAGTGATGATGTTGTTTGGATTCCAAATCTTCTTTCATCTATTATATTTTGTACTGTGTGTAGGTGCACGTGTTTGTACATAACTATACCTAGCCCCTGTTTGATTCCCTTTACTTTAAATTAATTTATTTCTTATATTCATTTTCAACCACACATTCTCCAAGTAATACTATTCAAAACATAGTTTTTTAAATTAAAGGCAACCAAACAAGGGCCTAATATTACTCGTGTCAAGGGGTGAGTTTAGTACCTTTTGGAGACCTAGCCCCTGTTTGTTTCCGATTTTCTTGCTCATTTTAATGAAAATTCTAGCCATTACTTGGTCCACACCCGCAACTTTTGATTTCACCATCTCATAGTGGGACCCATGGGTTGGAAAAAAAGGCCAAAAAATTAATTCTTGAGTACAAATAATGGGAAACAAATGGGGTGCAAGAAGTTTATCCAATTCTCCTTTTCTTTATTAATTTTACGATCATTTTGTTAGATATCACACTTTTTCTTCAAGGATTAGATTCAGCATCTGACCACATAAATTGTTTTAAAGCAACACATGTTTTATATGAATCAAAATTAATAGCTTCACATCCAGCATGCTCAACTGATATCTTATCCAACTGAACAGTTATATGTCGTATACAAGCATGCACTTTCCTTATCAAAAAAAAAAAAAAAAACAAGCATGCACTTTCAGATTTTAAGATTTGACGCAATTGAGTTTAGAACTCTTTTCTCATATATACTATTTTGTTTTTCAAAATCTTTTAGAAGTTCATTTTATAGCATGTTTATATCATTTAGGATCTAGGTCGTCAGTTTCAGAAGGTACTTGTTTTGATTCATCTTCCAAATCCATAAGACATGTTGGTTTGTTCTTCACCAATCACCATACACAATTTCCTCTGTCTGAATCATCTAAGCAAAGGTCATCCTCACCTCTGTGGCGAGTGGCTCCGTCTACATTTCCAGATCACACGCTTTTCTCTGTTGTTTTCTTCTTCCTTCTTGAGTGGGTAATCAGCTTCCCTCTGTATTTGAGACATCAATCTGTCATTTTTCTGGAATTATGTCTGTTCTCTTAGTTGTCAGTGCAACGTCATTCTTTACTCAACTATCTCCTTCCTCACTGTCACGAGTGCATTGATCTTCTTCATTTTGCCTTCAGTATTTTCTAGCTTTTTTGCTCAATTTATCTAATCATGAGATCACCAATCCATTTATCTGCTGTTAGTGTTGAGATGTATTTTGCTTCTTTGATAGCTGATACTTTGGCTTGCCATTTCTTTAGTTTTGATACCTTTCCTCTCCAGAATAGGTTTAATCTGGCAATGCTAACTTGCTCAATATGGAACTGAACCTTTAGTAGTTTGAGAGGAAATTTAGACCCAATAAATTTGGTATTTCATGCCAAGAGATGTACTCAGGGATGGATCTAGCCGCTCGAGTGAGCTAGGGCAGAGTGTCGAGCGGCCATTGAGCGATCGTCTAATATAGCGAGATTTTTTATTAATATTTAATTATTTTATATTAAACAAATTTCAATCAATATATAAATGCACTAAAATGTAAAAATTATATACATATAAAAATATAATCTAATACAACCCAAAATAATAAGGAATAAAAATGCATTTTTTAAATCATATACGGACGATCAAGTTGCAAGTTTTTATGAACTTAGGCGAAAAAAGATGAAGTTTATACGTAAAGCATGATTAAACGATAAAGGCAAGCTCCGAGCTTAGGCGAAGTGTATGCAAAATTTTTAAAACGATGAAATTTTAGAGCTATTTTTTACTCCTAAAAGAAAAGAGTTTTTCAAACTCTTAAAAGAATAAAGAACATTACTTAGATTATCCAAATATGAATTTTACAAAATAAACGTAATAATAAAATTATATATTATGGAGTAATAATTTGAGTCAATAAATTTTTTAAACGGTGATTTTTAGATCTATTTTCTACCCAGAAAAGAAAAGTGTTTTTCGAACTCTTAAAAGAATAAAGATTAGTACTTAGATTGTCCAAATTTAAATTTTACAAAACAAACTGGTAAAATCTAACAATAAAATATATATTATGAAGTAATAATTTGAGTAAACAAATTTCTTAAAGAAATTATTTTAGAAACAAAAACTAATTGTATAGAATTGTTTAGTTATTATTTATTGTGTTAAAAAATTAAAAGAAGTGGTGAGGTGAGGGGAATTGAACCCCTTGCCTCTTATCTTACATACAAAGCAAGCAATTTACCATATGAGTTACAAAGCTTATGTTGAAGTAAATGAAAACTATATAATAAAGAGTTGTTTAATAATTATTTATTATGTTAAAAATTAAAAGAAGTGGAGGTGAGAGGAATCGAGCCGGGTGCCTTTCACATGCAAAACAAACACTACCATATGAGTTACAACCATTTTCGTTTTAAACTAGTACAGTTAAAACATATTTAATTTCAAAGCTTCGTTAATAAGTAATTTTTTTCTCAATGGAGGCAGCACAAGAGGTTGTGCCGGCTCGTCAAGTGCTGGCTCCATCCCTAGATGTACCACAGATATATAGTGAATGCCACGCTTGAAAATAGGGACCATAATATGAGATTACCATTGATAAGACATAGGTAACGGTGAACACTAGTGTCTTCTAGACTGCACCTCCTTTAGGCACACCTTTGGTCAAAGGAACGTATAAAACTGTTCTTGATTTCCTTTTGAGTTTTTTAACACTTCAAATTCACAAAACTGGTGTCGAATAATTAGTTTATCGATGATACTATGTTTTGAGGTTTATTACATTATCCTCATATTACTTTACCTGTTAGTGTTTAATTTTGTTAACTATTAATCTACCATTTCCAAACCAAAAGTTTTATTTTATTTATTCCGCCTTTATATCTTTGTTTATCAAACCAATTTGTTGAAACATGGATGGTTTTATATTAAGAGAGATGACATATTTTGAGTAATATCCCACATCATTTATGTGGAGTCAAGCAATTTATTAGATTATTCTTTAGATTCAGGTTAAGCTAGATTAATCATTATGGCTTTAGTGGACCCCTAACAAGGATGATTGATCTTCAACAAGATAGAGTTGTGAGGACGCAAGTAATGCCCCGCTCCTAAATTGGATGCAAGGGGTTGATTTAAGTACAAGAGCTAATGATTTCAACTTAGGTGTAATGGTTGGAGCTCAACTTCAAGCAAAACCAACTAAATTCAACTCCAAATAACACACAATTGAAAGCAATCAGCTGGGAATCAGTAACCCAAGCTGTGATTCTATTAATTGAGACAATGAAATGCTGAAATGTAAGCAGAAAGGAGGAGGCAAAATATTGTGCCTATTGGAATGGCACCTAAAGTCTATTGATGCTTAAGAAGTGTTTCTTTATTATTTGTTTTTATTTTGAAGTCAAATTGCTACTTGAAATGTGCTATATGGGGACTCTACATCCCCATGTGTCGGTATCAAAGATAAAAGCATTAACATCGTTGTATCATTATCATATGCAAACCACTCAACATTATGCTAAACGTAGCTGACAAAAGAACTAAAAAACGCATCTCAACTAGAATGAGCAATTTCTTTTCCTTCTCTAGCACTTGTGTTTCCTTGCACTGTTATTTTCACAAACCCTCTAGCCTCCTGCATTAATGTTATTGCTTCAATCTAGCCTTCACTTTTTGTCCTTGTTCAATTTATAACATTCCTTGTCCCATTTCCTTTGGATATGTGACAGTGAAACCTTTTTATTTTTATTTTCTCTTGGCCTAAAGACACCTTCAACAGCTCACTGAACCATTTCATTTCCTCCTAAGAATTATCATTTAGGTTGGTTGAAGTTAGATCACTTATATATTTTTCTCCTTGGCCTAAAGTTATTATTCTCTCTATGCCAACTCAAAGCTATTTTGAGTGATACTTTTGAACAGTCCATTACATAGACCCAGACAATTGTTGAATTCTAAAATTCAACAAGATTCAGACATTTACAAATACTTTTAATAGTTTAAAATCAAGTTCAAGGCAATCAAAAACAACATTCTGACTTCCGGATCAAAGCTGGTGTGACTAGAGTGGTTTTAGATGTACATTCCTTCCCCTCCGTAAAGAAACTATTTTAGATGTCTAGAATGTCTTAAAACCTATGGTACATAAACCAGATTTGGTCTCTATTAATTTTACGAGTCTAAAAGACTTGGATTTTTTGAACTTAACAAGCTCAATGACAAAAATATGTTTTGGACATTAAAAATAAGTTTAGATTTGTCATTTCCATTTTTGACGTGACACGTTTCGAAAATTTAGATGTGATTCTGATGTATTCACGTGTTATCATTTTTAAATCAACTTTAATGTACTTATCAAAAAAAAAAAAAATCGACTTTAATGTAAATATTTGAGGTTATCAACTTCAACGTTATAAAATGGGTGATACCTCATTCGATAAGTCTTGTGTAAGTAATGTTCACTTGTCCAACATTTGAAATTATTTTCAGTATGACTTAATGGCTGCTTTTTCTAATATCAAGCTGTAAATACTTCTTAGCTCTTTAGAATGTGATCTTTTTGGCAACTTCAATACGACTCTGAGTATTATAAACTTGTTCTCTAAAATTTCAAATTTCACACTCTTCATGGCCTATTAATTGAGTGATATTCTATGTTGTTAAGTTTTGTTTTCTGTGTAAAATAATTATAAAATCAACCTTTAGAAGCATTTGAAAGGTGAATTTGATAAAAAAGAACTGATCTGTAGTGCAGTTGAGTTTTTCTCTTTAAAAATGTACTTGGCAAACTATATCAATATAATGAGTCAGTTAATACTTTTGCCGTAACTTGGTTAATCACACCAACTAGTGAAATGGGTGATTCTGCTGTAGTGATAATGAAAGTCAGTCTCTTCTGGAGTCGATTTATTGGGAGATCCCTGGTAAAGGAGGTAGATCCAATAGACTGAACCATTGAATCCTTTAGTCGTTCATTCTTCTCTTTGATCAGGAGATGTCATGCCTTCTCTTTAATTTGGCTAGCTTAGTAGATTTGCAATATCTGTGAGCAGTTTTCTGATGGAGTTCATTAGTGATAAGTGATAACTTGAATGAAAACACACCTTGAAAACAGATGCGCCCACAATTGACTTCTGCTTATCTTAGAGTTGTGTTTGGAAATCTGTAATGTATTTTGATGTTTTGATAATCATTTTGAGTACATTTGCCGTGTATCTACTGTGATAAACTGAAAAGCCCTGATTGTTTGTCCAACCTAGTTGAGTATTTTATTAACAAACCGCTTCTCTAGATACTCACTTGAGACCTACGGCTGGTAGAGTTGATGGTCTCTTCTGCTGATGCATATTCAAAAAAGTTTGTTTCGATGTTTATTCTTGTTACATTAATTCATGTTTTGTCGCTAACAATGGTAATATTGTTTAATGCTTGCAGAGATTGGCCTGGGTCTCATTGGTTTTGGTATCTTCTTCTCCTTTCTTGCCATAATTCTCTTTTTCGACAGAGGTTTGCTAGCTCTTGGTAATGTAAGACACTGTTCTTATTAAAATTATTTTTTTAAGTAAAAAGTCAAATAAGTCTCTGATTATTATTATTATTTTTTAATTAGATATTTTGGTCGGCTGGCGTAGTCCTCTTACTTGGTTGGCGTTCCACATTGAATCTGTTCACAAACAGAAGTAACTATAAGGTACTTGTGGCAATGTATAAAATACCTGTTAGCTTTTAGATAAGCTTGTGAGGTGTACATGTCTGGAATTTCGACATGCTTCTCTTATGAAGCATTTGCAAATATAATCGACTATGTGGCAACAATGAATGCCCTTATTTAGCCCCTGTTTGTCTACCATTTTTCAAAAAATTGTTTTCTACATTAATCAATCTCTACCACACATTCAAATAATAAAATATTCTACACATAAATCGATAAAGTTTCTTTCAATTTCAACAACACATTTTTCAAAAAATACTATTCATTACACCATTTTCTTCTCAATAATGGTTGACAAACAGGC